GGGGTGCGAAGTATGGTTACCATACTTATACGCCTGCTCATAACTACCCATGAGCCTCCAAGTACTGAACCTCAAAACGCTTTCCAACCTCAAAACTCGAAACTTTGAACATCTTGAGCCATACAACTCCAAGCCCTGACTTGCTTCCCCAGTTAAGTGGCGAAGGAAAGGGATGCATTCTCCTTAAACTGGCTGGTTTTTAGTAGGGAATGAGGGAATGAGGGAATGAGGTTCCCTATAGAACCCCTATATAAATATAAATATAAATATAAATATAAATATAAATATAAATATAAATATAAATATAAATATAAATATAAATAAATAAAGAAATATATATATATATATATATGGACACACCCCCCCCATGACCCACCCAGATCTGTTTCCCTCGTAAATACCGTAAAAAACCCGCTCGTGCCCTATGCCATTTTTTGCTACTCTCAGTGGCTGTCTCTCGACAGAACAGACCCCACACGGCCCACAAGACTGGACGCCGAGACGCGCGAGACCAAAAAACCAAAAAAACAATCTTTTTTAGAGAATGGGGAGGGGATGTTGAAAAAGATGTTTTTTTGGTTTTGCCTCGTAAAAAGATTGTTTTTCATAGAAAAACCAACTTTTCCCACGTAAAAAGATGGTTTTGGTCTGGACTGCCTCAGGAAAACCATCTTTTTGCGAGGTAAAAGTTGGTTTTTGGCTCCAAAACCATCTTTTACGAGGCAAAACCAAAAAACCAAAAAAAACCATCTTTTTTAGAGAATGGGGAGGGGATGTTGAAAAAGATGTTTTTTTTGGTTTTGCCTCGTAAAAAGATTGTTTTTCATAGGAAAACCAACTTTTCCCACGTAAAAAGATGGTTTTGGTCTAGACTGCCTCAGGAAAACCATCTTTTTGCGAGGTAAAAGTTGGTTTTTGGCTCCAAAACCATCTTTTACGAGGCAAAACCAAAAAAACAAAAAAAACCATCTTTTTTAGAGAATAGGGAGGGCATTTTGAAAAAGATGGTTTTTTTGGTTTTGCCTCGTAAAAAGATGGTTTTCCATAGAAAAACCAACTTTTCCCACGTAAAAAGATGGTTTTGGACACAAAAAACCAACTTTTACCTCGTAAACAGATGGTTTTGGAGCCAAAAACCAACTTTTACCTCGCAAAAAGATGGTTTTCCTGAGGCAGTCCAGACCAAAACCATCTTTTTGCGTGGGAAAAGTTGGTTTTCCTATGAAAAACCATCTTTTTACGAGGCAAAACCAAAAAACCATCTTTTTCAATATCCCCTCCCCATTCTCTAAAAAAGATGGTTTTTTTGGTTTTTTGGTTTTGCCTCGTAAAAGATGGTTTTGGAGCCAAAAACCAACTTTTACCTCGCAAAAAGATGGTTTTCCTGAGGCAGTCTAGACAAAAAACCATCTTTTTACGTGGGAAAAGTTGGTTTTTCTATGAAAAACCATCTTTTTACGAGGCAAAACCAAAAAAACCATCTTTTTCAATATCCCCTCCCCATTCTCTAAAAAAGATGGTTTTTTTGGTTTTTTGGTTTTGCCTCGTAAAAGATGGTTTTCCTGAGGCAGTCCAGACCAAAACCATCTTTTTACGTGGGAAAAGTTGGTTTTTCTATGAAAAACCATCTTTTTACGAGGCGAAACCAAAAAAAACATCTTTTTCAACATCCCCAAAAAGGATGTTTTTTTTGGTTTTTTGGTTTTGCCTCGTACCTCTCTCGGGCCAGAACCGTTCAGCTCTGCATGTAGCTATGCTTGGAGGCTCGTTGGCTTTGGTCAGTCTTATATTAATCTCAGCAATAGCATTCCTATTCCTATTAATGTAAAGGGGTTCCTAACCATCTTTATAGGACTTCTTTTCATTTTACTTATATTCTTATGAACTTTCAGAGGGTTCTTATTCCACATCAGAGGATTCCTAATACTTTTCAATAGGGTTCTTATGCATTTCAACAAGGTTCTTAATCATTTTCAAGTGGCTCTTTTAATTCCAACAGGGTTCCTCTGAAAATAAAAACCTTTTTAAGATTCAGATTGGTGCCTATTCATTTTAGTGAGTCTCCAAGTGATTTTAATGGTATTCTTAGAAAATTGAATTGCATTCCTCGCCCTTTGTTCTAATAGGAATCACATTAAGCCTAACAGGAAGCCAATAAATTTTGAAAAGGAACCACATTGAATTTTGTAGGATTCCTATTGGTTCCTATTATTTTTAGTAGGACTTAGTAGGGTTCCTCTTCATTTTAAAAGGATTCCTATCAATTGGTAAAAGGGTTCTGAACAATTTTACTGGGGTTCCCAATGAACTCCGATTAACGTCAAAGGGTTCCTGACCATCTTAATGGGACTCCTCTACCATTTCAGAATATTCTTATGAATTTTCATAGGGTTCTTATTCAATGTAGAAGGATTCCTAATACGTTTTTCTGTAAACAGGGTTCTTATGAAATTCAACAAGGTTCTCAATCATTTTAAAGTGGCTTCTTTTAGTTTCAATAGGGGTCCATCTGAAAATGAAAAGGGGCCATACTTCTTTTTAGGATTCCTATTGGTTCCTATTCATGTTTGTGACTTGCAAAGTAACTGGAATGGTTCTTTTCTGGAGATTTGAATAGCATTCCTGTCCCATTAATTCTAATAGGAATCACATGAATTCTAACAGGAAGCCTAGAAATCCGAACCACATTTATTTTTATAGGATTCCTATTGGTTCCTATTAATTTAGTAGGATTTCTCTTCATTTTCAAAGGATTCCAATAGGGTTCTTATGATTTTTAGTGGTGTTGCTTATAAATTCTAATTGATGGTAGGACCCTCTTCATTTAAAAGATTCCTCTTAATTTGTAAAAGGGTTCTTATGAATTCATAAATTGAATAGGATTCTAATTCATCATAACAAGATTAAGAGAAATATTAATAGGATTCCTATTTAGATTTAATGGAATTCGCACATTCCCGTGAATTCAAAAAGGGTCCCTTCTCATTTTCACAGGCTCCCTACTATTCTTCATGGGGGCCCTATAAAAATCTACATTTTAATAGCATTCCCATGACGTTTGATAGGGAGTTCCTCTGACTCAAATATGATTCCAAGTCATTCTTCCTATTGATTCAATAAAGAATCTTATTAATCTTAATAGGGTTCGTATGAATTTCATAGGGTTTTCGTTCAACTAAGAGGGTTCTGATTAAACTCATAGCTATGACTAAGTATGGATTTCTTACTCCGACACGGCCTCACGGTGGGTCATGGGGGGGGTGTGAGCATATATATATATATAGGGCCCTGATTCCCTCATCCCCTTCTAAGAACCAGGGGGTAAAAGGGGGTCATTGAGCAGGGCACCAAGGCCTCCAGCAGCTTGGCCCTCCAGGGATCCATGGCATCGCGCTGCTTCTCCAGGCCCAGGACCTGGCTCAGCACTGCCTGCGCCGGGGGGTGAGGTGAGGATTCTGGAGTTTAGGGATTTTTTTGGGGGGTTTGAATTTTAGGGTTCTGGAGTTTAGGGTTTGTTTTTTTTTTTTTGGGGGGGGGGTTTGAGGTTTAGGGTTCTGGAGTCTAGGGTTTGTTTTTGCGGGGTTTGAGGTTTAGTGTTCTTGAGGGTTTTAGGTTTTTGGGGGTTTAGGGTTTTTGGTTTTTTTGGGGTTTAGGGTTCTGGAGTTTAGGGTTTTTTGGGGGTTTTGGAGCTCAGAGCTCTGGAGTTTAGGGTTTAGGGTTTATGGGTCTAGGGTGCTTGAGCTTCGGGCTTTAGGAGTTTCCAGCGCTTCACGGCCGAATTGAGGAGTTTAGGGTTTGAGCTGCACGTTGCTTGTGGATTTTGGGGGCCTTTGGGGCATAAGGGTTTCGGGTTGCAGTAAGCTGGTTGACACTAACCCTAAACCCTAAAACCTAAACCCTCACCCCATCAACAATAACTTCTCCCATGGGTTCTCTTCGCTACCCCATAGGATCCCCACACCTGTTTTAGGGTTTCAGGGTGTTGGGTGAAGAGTTTAGGGAACACTAAACCCTAAACCCTAAACCCTAAACCCTAAACCCCTCAACCTTGAGTTGGGGCTTGTCTGCGGCTAGGCGAGGCTTCTGCCGCTCATACGCGCAACGTGAAACCTGTGCTTCGGCGGGGTATGGGTTGAAGCATTTGAGGATTAGGGATGAGGGATTAGGGATTAGGGTTTAGGGATTAGGGTTTAGGGATTAGGGATTAGGGTTGCAGACGGAGAGAGAGGCAGGGCTTAGGGTTTGAGGTCTTGTCTTTAGGAGCAGGCTACTCCTAGACACCAACGCAAACCAATGATGCCTGGTTGTGGGTAGCAGTGGTACCAGGTGTTGGTCCCATGAGCAGAGTTATGAACTAGCCAGCACAAATGGGCAAAATTTCGGGTCTGCCCAAGCCCCACATGGCCTGCATGTCCTCTTGACCTTCACGGGCGTCCGCCTCCGGATGATGGGAGGTCTTAACCCGACATTGCTACCCGACATCTGAGGCTCTGCGATTGATGGGAGTCCTTTCTTGGGTCCTGGCTCTTTGCAGACTACACAGGGTGGGTTGCTATTGGACACCAACCGTGCGTCCCAGGTGACTTCGCAACTTCATGCATTCGAGGTCTGTGGGCTTTCGACTTTTTGGGGCAGTGCCTCAGGAAGTGTGCTTCCGATGTTACCCGCGACACATCAATGTCAGAGCGCCAGCCACCCTTTTTCAAGATCGCGGGCTGGCGACGCGACGCCTGCACGTGTGTGAACTTGAAACAGGGACTTGTCGGTGCTGTGCGTTGCACATGTTGCACAGCGCTTCGAGCCTCCCGAGACGAGCCTCAGAGCAATCATCTGAGTCTGAAGTTCCCTCAATCTCGAGATTTGCGCTTGGAGCCACTTGGAGTCAACAGGAGATGCGCCCCTTGGGGGCGCACCAGACACCACAAACATCAACTATTCTAGGAAAACTTTTAAAGAATTGGACAGTCAGATGTAGCGGCCTTGCGCCCTATGCGCACTCTTCAGGCCAAGGGCACAACGTACTGAGATTGCACCACGTAGGTCGGAGACACCAGAATGCGAGAGCCGTGGGGTGCGAGGTCAACCGACATCCCGTACAGGTCCTTCATCTGCTTGCAGAGGTTGTCGAAAGACTCGGGAGAAACCTGGTGGCAATCCTTGTCCACATGCCAAGTGATGACGTATGGAGAGCACACTGAGTTGTCGTGCGACTGGCCGGTGGTTGACCTGGGATCAGAAGCTCAAGCGCGGGGTCGGACTTATGATATCTACTTGAAAGGCATGGCGCCTCTTGGTGACGTGGTGCTTAAGGCTGAAAAGTTTCGGAGGGTTTTGTGTGGCTTGGGGTTTACGGCTAAAGCTCTGAGCTTGGGGTTTGGGGCTTGTACTGTCGGCTTAGGGTGTTGGACCCCACTTGAGCAAAGTGCTGCAGTGCTCTCAGAGACTCAAAACTTAACGACTTCACAAGGAAACAATGCCTCTTGCAAGCCACGTGGCCCAGAGTACATGACGGAGTTGTTATGTCCAACAACGGTCCAGCCATGCAGCAGATCGTTCACAGTAGGCCCCCCGTTCACGATCTGGTAGATCTGGCCCTGCACCACGACCATAGGGTTCAGAAGGCCACGGCCGTTTGCGGCACCTGCAACATGAACACGCGCTCAGATGCTTTCGACATAAATAACTATGACAACCCTTTAAACATCAAGAGCTCGGCAAGCAGTGCCTCACTGAAGCAGCAACGAGTAAGACGGCGGCCATTGGAGACTCACACACACACACACATCTCAAACCCGCGTTTGCGCACGCGTTGGCTCACCCATGCTGACGGCGACTGTGTGACAAGCAGATCAGGGTGGTTGGCTGCATGCTCACGTGCCTCCCAAACCATCCGCGAGGAGGTCTGCATTCATGCCGTCCGAAGCATCGTTGTCGGTGCCGGCTGAAGAGTGCACGTAGTGGACCTCGTAGGACTTGCCGACCTGCACGTCACCCGTGCAGTGCTGAAAGGTGTACGGCGTCATCTGCGCGTCAGTGAGCGTGTCCGTTGGGCACATGAAGCCAGGACGTGGGTTGCTGGCCAGGCGCCTGCCGGAGGAGGCCGCGTCGTACGCCATCGCATCGGTGTCGTTGTTGTAGGCATCGCTCTTATGCTCAGCCCCCAGGTGGAAGTGCACGTTCACCAGCGGCAGGAAGTTGGCCTGAGCATCCGTCAGCGTGGCCGCCTTCGGCACCATGCTGCCTGTAGCGCCAGTTGAGAGATCACGAGGCGTCTGAGGCTCGGCCGTGTTGCAAGCTGGCTTGTTGAAGTTGTACGGGCAAGTTGGAGTGCCCGGCACGGGGTTGCTCAGCACCGTGGTGGGGGAGCCACAGCACTGCTCACTCTTGTAGAAATCCTTCACCTCGCCGCAAGTGACGGCGTCCGCCCCAACCACAAACAAGGAGAACAAGCGCAGCATGGCTGGATACGACTGTGTGGCAAAATCCTTCACGAACCCTTCTCTGTCTGCCAAAGCTCACAGCAAAAGAAACGACATCGGCAGGCCGATTTCTCTGACTCAGATCAGCTGATGACAAAGCAGCGCCCCAGCGTTTCTAGCAGCTTCTGACGTACATCGGCATACACCGGCGTAGCAGCACAGGCCCTCCCTCACCCCTTCCGCCGAGCCCCACATGCAAATAAGCCATCAATCTCAGAGCACCACTCACCATTTTCGAAGATCGCGGGCTGACGACGCGACAGCTGCACGATTGCTGCACGTGTGGACTTGAAACAGGGACGTGTCGGCTCTGTGCGTTGCACAGTGCTTGGAGCCTCCCAAGACGAGCCTCAGAACAATCAACTGAAGTTCCCTCAATCTCGAGACGGAGCTAGGATGAGGAGCCACTCGGAGTCAATGGGAGACTCGCCCCTTGGGGGCGCGTCAGACACCAAAGACATCAACTCCTCCAAAGGAAAACTTAAAACAGGAAAACATAAAAGAATTGGGCAGTCAGATTCAGCGGCCTTGCGCCCTGTGCAATCCTATGCGCACTCTTCAGGCCAAGGGCACAACGTACTGAGATTGCACCACGTAGGTCGGAGACACCAGAATGCGAGAGCCGTGGGGTGCGAGGTCAACCGACATCCCGTACAGGTCCTTCATCTGCTTGCAGAGGTTGTCGAAAGACTCGGGAGAAACCTGGTGGCAATCCTTGTCCACATGCCAAGTGATGACGTATGGAGAGCACACTGAGTTGTCGTGCGACTGGCCGGTGGTTGACCTGGGATCGAGAAGCTCAAGCGCGGGGTCGGACTTATGATATCTACTTGAAAGGCATGGCGCCTCTTGGTGACGTGGTGCTTAAGGCTGAAAAGTTTCGGAGGGTTTTGTGTGGCTTGGGGTTTACGGCTAAAGCTCTGAGCTTGGGGTTTGGGGCTTGTACTGTCGGCTTAGGGTGTTGGACCCCACTTGAGCAAAGTGCTGCAGTGCTCTCACAGACTCAAAACTTATCGACTTCACAAGGAAACAATGCCTCTTGCAAGCCACGTGGCCCAGAGTACATGACGGAGTTGTTATGTCCAACAACAGTCCAGCCATGCAGCAGATCGTTCACAGTAGGCCCCCCGTTCACGATCTGGTAGATCTGGCCCTGCACCACGACCATCGGGTTCAGAAGGCCACGGCCGTTTGCGGCACCTGCAACACGAACACGAGGTCAAATGCTTTAAATTCGACATAAATAACTATAATAACCCTTTAAACATCAAGAGCTCGGCAAGCAGAGCCTCACTGAAGCAGCAACGAGTAAAACGCCGGCTATCAGAGACTGACACACACACACACACACACACACACGCGCACGCACACACACACACACACACACAAATCACACCTGCATTCGCACACGCGTTGACTCCCCCATGCTGACGGTGACTGTGCGACAGGCAGGTCAGAGTGGTTGGCTGCATGCTCACGTGCCTCCCAAACCATCCGCGAGGAGGTCTGCATTCATGCCGTCCGAAGCATCGTTGTCGGTGCCGGCTGAAGAGTGCACGTAGTGGACCTCGTAGGACTTGCCGACCTGCACGTCACCCGTGCAGTGCTGAAAGGTGTACGGCGTCATCTGCGCGTCAGTGAGCGTGTCCGTTGGGCACATGAAGCCAGGACGTGGGTTGCTGGCCAGGCGCCTGCCGGAGGAGGCCGCGTCGTACGCCATCGCATCGGTGTCGTTGTTGTAGGCATCGCTCTTATGCTCAGCCCCCAGGTGGAAGTGCACGTTCACCAGCGGCAGGAAGTTGGCCTGAGCATCCGTCAGCGTGGCCGCCTTCGGCACCATGCTGCCTGTAGCGCCAGTTGAGAGATCACGAGGCGTCTGAGGCTCGGCCGTGTTGCAAGCTGGCTTGTTGAAGTTGTACGGGCAAGTTGGAGTGCCCGGCACGGGGTTGCTCAGCACCGTGGTGGGGGAGCCACAGCACTGCTCACTCTTGTAGAAATCCTTCACCTCGCCGCAGGTGACGGCGTCCGCCCCAACCACAAACAATGAGAACAAGCGCAGCATGGCTGGATACGACTGTGTGGCAAAATCCTTCACGAACCCTTCTCTGTCTGCCAAAGCTCACAGCAAAAGAAACAACATCGGCAGGCCGATTTCTCTGACTCAGATCAGCTGATGACAAAGCAGCGCCCAGCGTTTCTAGCAGCTTCTGACGTACATCGGCATACACCGGTGTAGCAGCACAGGCCCTCCCTCACCCCTTCCGCCGAACCCCCACATGCAAATAAGCCATCAATCTCAGAGCACCACTCACCATTTGTGAAGATCGCGGGCTGACGACGCGACAGCTGGACGATTGCTGCACGTGTGGACTTGAAACAGGGACGTGTCGGCTCTGTGCGTTGCACAGTGCTTGGAGCCTCCCAAGACGAGCCTCAGAACAATCAACTGAAGTTCCCTCAATCTCGAGACAGAGCTAGGAAGAGGAGCCACTCGGAGTCAATGGGAGACGCGCCCCTTGGGGGCGCGTCAGACACCAAAGACATCAACTCCTCCAAAGGAAAACTTAAAACAGGAAAACACAAAAGAATTGGACAGTCAGATGTAGCGGCCTTGCGCCCTGTGCAATCCTATGCGCACTCTTCAGGCCAAGGGCACAACGTACTGAGATTGCACCACGTAGGTCGGAGACACCAGAATGCGAGAGCCGTGGGGTGCGAGGTCAACCGACATCCCGTACAGGTCCTTCATCTGCTTGCAGAGGTTGTCGAAAGACTCGGGGGAAACCTGGTGGCAATCCTTGTCCACATGCCAAGTGATGACGTATGGAGAGCACACTGAGTTGTCGTGCGACTGGCCGGTGGTTGACCTGGGATCAGAAGCTCAAGAGCGGGGTCGGACTTATGATGTCTACTTGGGGTTTGTTGGGGGCCATGGCGCCTCTTGGTGACATGGTGCTTAAGGCTGAAAAGTTTCGGAGGGTTTTGTGTGGCTTGGGGTTTACGGCTAAAGCTCTGAGCTTGGGGTTTGGGGCTTGTACGTTCGGCTTAGGGTGTTGGACCCCACTTGAGCAAAGTGCTGCAGTGCTCTCACAGACTCAAAACTTATCGACTTCACAAGGAAACAATGCCTCTTGCAAGCCACGTGGCCCAGAGTACATGACGGAGTTGTTATGTCCAACAACAGTCCAGCCATGCAGCAGATCGTTCACAGTAGGCCCCCCGTTCACGATCTGGTAGATCTGGCCCTGCACCACGACCATAGGGTTCAGAAGGCCACGGCCGTTTGCGGCACCTGCAACATGAACACGCGCTCAGATGCTTTCGACATAATAACTATAACGCTTGAAACATCAAGAGCTCTGGCAAGCAGTGCCTCACTGAAGCAGCAACCAGTACAATGTCGGCTATTGGAGACACACACACACACATCTCACACACCTCACACCTGCGTTGACTCACCCATGCTGACGGTGACTGTGTGACAAGCAGATCAGGGTGGTTGGCTGCATGCTCACGTGCCTCCCAAACCATCCGCGAGGAGGTCTGCATTCATGCCGTCCGAAGCATCGTTGTCGGTGCCGGCTGAGGAGTGCACGTAGTGGACCTCGTAGGACTTGCCGACCTGCACGTCACCCGTGCAGTGCTGAAAGGTGTACGGCGTCATCTGCGCGTCAGTGAGCGTGTCCGTTGGGCACATGAAGCCAGGGCGTGGGTTGCTGGCCAGGCGCCTGCCGGAGGAGGCCGCGTCGTACGCCATCGCATCGGTGTCGTTGTTGTAGGCATCGCTCTTATGCTCAGCCCGGCCGTGTTGCAAGCTGGCTTGTTGAAGTTGTACGGGCAAGTTGGAGTGCCCGGCACGGGGTTGCTCAGCACCGTGGTGGGGGAGCCACAGCACTGCTCACTCTTGTAGAAATCCTTCACCTCGCCGCAAGTGACGGCCTCCGCCCCGACAGCCATCGCCAGTGCCAACGCTAAGCCTGTGGCAACCTTGGGACGGGCCGAGGCGAGGGGCAGCAGCAGCGCCATCCACGGCGAGCCGCGGAATGCGGAGCCCGTCTCTTCGCCGGTTGTCTCGCAAAGGTCCACCTCCGGATCGTCAGGGCACGTGGCGATGGCGACTTTGGCGAGGCAGGCGGTCACCGCAAGCAAGCGCAACATGGCTGGGGGATCAAGGACTCGTCACAACCTTCAGCTATGCCAGCTATGCAGGCCCTCTGACTTGAAACACTCAGCGCGCACAAGCCTTCAGGAAGCTTCAGGCCTAGGAGTCTAGCTTCTGCGGCCGCGGGTGTAATTGCGAGCTTAAGCTCTGTAGGCTTCGGGGTTGGGGTCTTCAAGTCTTCAAGCAAACAGGGTCGCAAGGAACACCAGGTGTGAAGTTTTTGTATCCTTGCTCCGTGCATTCCAACTAAGAACCCTTGCGCTTCACACTCGCACGTCCTTTCGTGTGCTCGCGCGCGCGCGCGCGCGAGGCATTCCCAAATTTAGGTTTTGGCTTGCTTTCGCCATCGTTCGCCCTTGCATGAGATTGCCACGCTCGAAGGGTGAGAACGTTTGTTCAACGACCAGTTATCGCTAATCGCCCTCGTAGTCATGTCAAAAGAACTCGCCAAAAGAAGAACAAACCCTTACAGGCAAACACGGCATCAATCTCTAGCGCCAATCGCCCTTTTTGAGTGCCCCACTCACCATTTTTGAAGATCGCGGGCTGACGACGCGACCGAGACAGCTGCACGTGTGGACTTGAAACAGGGACGTGTCGGCTCTGTGCGTTGCACAGTGCTTGGAGCCTCCCAAGACGAGCCTCAGAACAATCAACTGAAGTTCCCTCAATCTCGAGACGGAGCTAGGATGAGGAGCCACTCGGAGTCAATGGGAGACTCGCCCCTTGGGGGCGCGTCAGACACCAAAGACATCAACTCCTCCAAAGGAAAACTTAAAACAGGAAAACATAAAAGAATTGGACAGTCAGATTCAGCGGCCTTGCGCCCTGTGCAATCCTATGCGCACTCTTCAGGCCAAGGGCACAACGTACTGAGATTGCACCACGTAGGTCGGAGACACCAGAATGCGAGAGCCGTGGGGTGCGAGGTCAACCGACATCCCGTACAGGTCCTTCATCTGCTTGCAGAGGTTGTCGAAAGACTCGGGAGAAACCTGGTGGCAATCCTTGTCCACATGCCAAGTGATGACGTATGGAGAGCACACTGAGTTGTCGTGCGACTGGCCGGTGGTTGACCTGGGATCGGAAGCTCAAGCGTGGGGTCGGACTTTTGATGTCTACTTGGGGTTTGTTGGGGGCCATTGCGCCTCTTGGTGACATGGTGCTTAAGGCTGAAAAGTCTCGGAGGGTTTCGTCGTCTGGCTTGGGGTTTACGGCTAAAGCTCTGAGCTTGGGGTTTGGGGCTTGTACTGTCGGCTTAGGGTGTTGGACCCCACTTGAGCAAAGTGCTGCAGTGCTCTCAGAGACTCAAAACTTAACGACTTCACAAGGAAACAATGCCTCTTGCAAGCCACGTGGCCCAGAGTACATGACGGAGTTGTTATGTCCAACAACGGTCCAGCCATGCAGCAGATCGTTCACAGTAGGCCCCCCGTTCACGATCTGGTAGATCTGGCCCTGCACCACGACCATAGGGTTCAGAAGGCCACGGCCGTTTGCGGCACCTGCAACATGAACACGCGCTCAGATGCTTTCGACATAAATAACTATGACAACCCTTTAAACATCAAGAGCTCGGCAAGCAGTGCCTCACTGAAGCAGCAACGAGTAAGACGGCGGCCATTGGAGACTCACACACACACACACATCTCAAACCCGCGTTTGCGCACGCGTTGGCTCACCCATGCTGACGGCGACTGTGTGACAAGCAGATCAGGGTGGTTGGCTGCATGCTCACGTGCCTCCCAAACCATCCGCGAGGAGGTCTGCATTCATGCCGTCCGAAGCATCGTTGTCGGTGCCGGCTGAGGAGTGCACGTAGTGGACCTCGTAGGACTTGCCGACCTGCACGTCACCCGTGCAGTGCTGAAAGGTGTACGGCGTCATCTGCGCGTCAGTGAGCGTGTCCGTTGGGCACATGAAGCCAGGACGTGGGTTGCTGGCCAGGCGCCTGCCGGAGGAGGCCGCGTCGTACGCCATCGCATCGGTGTCGTTGTTGTAGGCATCGCTCTTATGCTCAGCCCCCAAGTGGAAGTGCACGTTCACCAGCGGCAGGAAGTTGGCCTGAGCATCCGTCAGCGTGGCCGCCTTCGGCACCATGCTGCCTGTTGCGCCAGTTGAGAGATCACGAGGCGTCTGAGGCTCGGCCGTGTTGCAAGCTGGCTTGTTGAAGTTGTACGGGCAAGTTGGAGTGCCCGGCACGGGGTTGCTCAGCACCGTGGTGGGGGAGCCACAGCACTGCTCACTCTTGTAGAAATCCTTCACCTCGCCGCAGGTGACGGCGTCCGCCCCAACCACAAACAAGGAGAACAAGCGCAGCATGGCTGGATACGACTGTGTGGCAAAATCCTTCGCGAACCCTTCTCTGTCTGCCAAAGCTCACAGCAAAAGAAACAACATCGGCAGGCCGATTTCTCTGACTCAGATCAGCTGATGACAAAGCAGCGCCCAGCGTTTCTAGCAGCTTCTGAGGTACATCGGCATACACCGGTGTAGCAGCACAGGCCCTCCCTCACCCCTTCAGCCGAACCCCCACATGTAAATAAGCCATCAATCTCAGAGCACCACTCACCATTTGTGAAGATCGCGGGCTGACGACGCGACAGCTGGACGATTGCTGCACGTGTGGACTTGAAACAGGGACGTGTCGGCTCTGTGCGTTGCACAGTGCTTGGACCCAAGACGAGCCTCAGAACAATCAACTGAAGTTCCCTCAATCTCGAGCTAGGATGAGAAGCCACTCGGACTTAATGGGAGATGCGCCCCTTGAGGGCGCATCATACACCAAAAATGTCAACTCCTCCAGGAAAACTTAAAAGAATTGGACAGTCAGATGTAGCGGCCTTGCGCCCTGTGCAATCCTACGCGCACTCTTCAGGCCAAGGGCACAACGTACTGAGATTGCACCACGTAGGTCGGAGACACCAGAATGCGAGAGCCGTGGGGTGCGAGGTCAACCGACATCCCGTACAGGTCCTTCATCTGCTTGCAGAGGTTGTCGAAAGACTCGGGAGAAACCTGGTGGCAATCCTTGTCCACATGCCAAGTGATGACGTATGGAGAGCACACTGAGTTGTCGTGCGACTGGCCGGTGGTTGACCTGGGATCGGAAGCTCAAGCGTGGGGTCGGACTTTTGATGTCTACTTGGGGTTTGTTGGGGGCCATGGCGCCTCTTGGTGACATGGTGCTTAAGGCTGAAAAGTCTCGGAGGGTTTCGTCGTCTGGCTTGGGGTTTACGGCTAAAGCTCTGAGCTTGGGGTTTGGGGCTTGTCCTGTCGGCTTAGGGTGTTGGACCCCACTTGAGCAAAGTGCTGCAGTGCTCTCAGAGACTCAAAACTTAACGACTTCACAAGGAAACAATGCCTCTTGCAAGCCACGTGGCCCAGAGTACATGACGGAGTTGTTATGTCCAACAACGGTCCAGCCATGCAGCAGATCGTTCACAGTAGGCCCCCCGTTCACGATCTGGTAGATCTGGCCCTGCACCACGACCATAGGGTTCAGAAGGCCACGGCCGTTTGCGGCACCTGCAACATGAACACGCGCTCAGATGCTTTCGACATAATAACTATAACACTTTAAACATCAAGAGCTCTGGCAAGCAGTGCCTCACTGAAGCAGCAACCAGTAAAACGTCGGCCATTGGAGACTCACACACACACACACATCTCAAACCCGCGTTTGCGCACGCGTTGACTCACCCATGCTGGCGGTGACTGTGTGATAAGCAGATGAGGGTTGTTGGCATTGTTGGCTACATGCTCACGTGCCTCCCAAACCATCCGCGAGGAGGTCTGCATTCATGCCGTCCGAAGCATCGTTGTCGGTGCCGGCTGAAGAGTGCACGTAGTGGACCTCGTAGGACTTGCCGACCTGCACGTCACCCGTGCAGTGCTGAAAGGTGTACGGCGTCATCTGCGCGTCAGTGAGCGTGTCCGTTGGGCACATGAAGCCAGGACGTGGGTTGCTGGCCAGGCGCCTGCCGGAGGAGGCCGCGTCGTACGCCATCGCATCGGTGTCGTTGTTGTAGGCATCGCTCTTATGCTCAGCCCCCAGGTGGAAGTGCACGTTCACCAGCGGCAGGAAGTTGGCCTGAGCATCCGTCAGCGTGGCCGCCTTCGGCACCATGCTGCCTGTAGCGCCAGTTGAGAGATCACGAGGCGTCTGAGGCTCGGCCGTGTTGCAAGCTGGCTTGTTGAAGTTGTACGGGCAAGTTGGAGTGCCCGGCACGGGGTTGCTCAGCACCGTGGTGGGGGAGCCACAGCACTGCTCACTCTTGTAGAAATCCTTCACCTCGCCGCAAGTGACGGCCTCCGCCCCGACAGCCATCGCCAGTGCCAACGCTAAGCCTGTGGCAACCTTGGGACGGGCCGAGGCGAGGGGCAGCAGCAGCGCCATCCACGGCGAGCCGCGGAATGCGGAGCCCGTCTCTTCGCCGGTTGTCTCGCAAAGGTCCACCTCCGGATCGTCAGGGCACGTGGCGATGGCGACTTTGGCGAGGCAGGCGGTCACCGCAAGCAAGCGCAACATGGCTGGGGGATCAAGGACTCGTCACAACCTTCAGCTATGCCAGCTATGCAGGCCCTCTGACTTGAAACACTCAGCGCGCACAAGCCTTCAGGAAGCTTCAGGCCTAGGAGTCTAGCTTCTGCGGCCGCGGGTGTAATTGCGAGCTTAAGCTCTGTAGGCTTCGGGGTTGGGGTCTTCAAGTCTTCAAGCAAACAGGCTCGCAAGGAACACCAGGTGTGAAGTTTTTGTATCCTTGCTCCGTGCATTCCAACTAAGAACCCTTGCGCTTCACACTCGCACGTCCTTTCGTGTGCTCGCGCGCGCGCGCGCGCGAGGCATTCCCAAATTTAGGTTTTGGCTTGCTTTCGCCATCGTTCGCCCTTGCATGAGATTGCCACGCTCGAAGGGTGAGAACGTTTGTTCAACGACCAGTTATCGCTAATCGCCCTCGTAGTCATGTCAAAAGAACTCGCCAAAAGAAGAACAAACCCTTACAGGCAAACACGGCATCAATCTCTAGCGCCAATCGCCCTTTTTGAGTGCCCCACTCACCATTTTTGAAGATCGCGGGCTGACGACGCGACCGAGACAGCTGCACGTGTGGACTTGAAACAGGGACGTGTCGGCTCTGTGCGTTGCACAGTGCTTGGAGCCTCCCAAGACGAGCCTCAGAACAATCAACTGAAGTTCCCTCAATCTCGAGACGGAGCTAGGATGAGGAGCCACTCGGAGTCAATGGGAGACTCGCCCCTTGGGGGCGCGTCAGACACCAAAGACATCAACTCCTCCAAAGGAAAACTTAAAACAGGAAAACATAAAAGAATTGGACAGTCAGATGTAGCGGCCCTGCGCCCTGTGCAATCCTATGCGCACTCTTCAGGCCAAGGGCACAACGTACTGAGATTGCACCACGTAGGTCGGAGACACCAGAATGCGAGAGCCGTGGGGTGCGAGGTCAACCGACATCCCGTACAGGTCCTTCATCTGCTTGCAGAGGTTGTCGAAAGACTCAGGAGAAACCTGGTGGCAATCCTTGTCCACATGCCAAGTGATGACGTATGGAGAGCACACTGAGTTGTCGTGCGACTGGCCGGTGGTTGACCTGGGATCGGAAGCTCAAGCGCGGGGTCGGACTTATGATGTCTACTTGGGGTTTGTTGGGGGCCATGGCGCCTTATGGTGACATGGTGCTTAAGGCTGAAAAGTCTCGGAGGGTTTCGTCGTCTGGCTTGGGGTTTACGGCTAAAGCTCTGAGCTTGGGGTTTGGGGCTTGTACTGTCGGCTTAGGGTGTTGGACCCCACTTGAGCAAAATGCTGCAGTGCTCTCAGAGACTCAACACTTAACGACTTCACAAGGAAACAATGCCTCTTGCAAGCCACGTGGCCCAGAGTACATGACGGAGTTGTTATGTCCAACAACAGTCCAGCCATGCAGCAGATCGTTCACAGTAGGCCCCCCGTTCACGATCTGGTAGATCTGGCCCTGCACCACGACCATAGGGTTCAGAAGGCCACGGCCGTTTGCGGCACCTGCAACATGAACACGCGCTCAGATGCTTTCGACATAAATAACTATAACACTTGAAACATCAAGAGCTCTGGCAAGCAGTGCCTCACTGAAGCAGCAACCAGTACAATGTCGGCTATTGGAGACACACACACACACATCTCACACCCGCGTGTGCACACGCGTTGGCTCACCCATGCTGACGGTGACTGTGTGACAAGCAGATCAGGGTTGTTGGCTACATGCTCACGTGCCTCCCAAACCATCCGCGAGGAGGTCTGCATTCATGCCGTCCGAAGCATCATTGTCGGTGCCGGCTGAGGAGTGCACGTAGTGGACCTCGTAGGACTTGCCGACCTGCACGTCACCCGTGCAGTGCTGAAAGGTGTACGGCGTCATCTGCGCGTCAGTGAGGGTGTCCGTTGGGCACATGAAGCCAGGACGTGGGTTGCTGGCCAGGCGCCTGCCGGAGGAGGCCGCGTCGTACGCCATCGCATCGGTGTCGTTGTTGTAGGCATCGCTCTTATGCTCAGCCCCCAAGTGGAAGTGCACGTTCACCAGCGGCAGGAAGTTGGCCTGAGCATCCGTCAGCGTGGCCGCCTTCGGCACCATGCTGCCTGTAGCGCCAGTTGAGAGATCACGAGGCGTCTGAGGCTCGGCCGTGTTGCAAGCTGGCTTGTTGAAGTTGTACGGGCAAGTTGGAGTGCCCGGCACGGGGTTGCTCAGCACCGTGGTGGGGGAGCCACAGCACTGCTCACTCTTGTAGAAATCCTTCACCTCGCCGCAAGTGACGGCCTCCGCCCCGACAGCCATCGCCAGTGCCAACGCTAAGCCTGTGGCAACCTTGGGACGGGCCGAGGCGAGGGGCAGCAGCAGCGCCATCCACGGCGAGCCGCGGAATGCGGAGCCCGTCTCTTCGCCGGTTGTCTCGCAAAGGTCCACCTCCGGATCGTCAGGGCACGTGGCGATGGCGACTTTGGCGAGGCAGGCGGTCACCGCAAGCAAGCGCAACATGGCTGGGGGATCAAGGACTCGTCACAACCTTCAGCTATGCCAGCTATGCAGGCCCTCTGACTTGAAACACTCAGCGCGCACAAGCCTTCAGGAAGCTTCAGGCCTAGGAGTCTAGCTTCTGCGGCCGCGGGTGTAATTGCGAGCTTAAGCTCTGTAGGCTTCGGGGTTGGGGTCTTCAAGTCTTCAAGCAAACAGGCTCGCAAGGAACACCAGGTGTGAAGTTTTTGTATCCTTGCTCCGTGCATTCCAACTAAGAACCCTTGCGCTTCACACTCGCACGTCCTTTCGTGTGCTCGCGCGCGCGCGAGGCATTCCCAAATTTAGGTTTTGGCTTGCTTTCGGCATCGTTCGCCCTTGCATGAGATTGCCACGCTCGAAGGGTGAGAACGTTTGTTCAACGACCAGTTATCGCTAATCGCCCTGTAGTCATGTCAAAAGAACTCGCCAAAAGAAGAACAAACCCTTACAGGCAAACACGGCATCAATCTCTAGCGCCAATCGCCCTTTTTGAGTGCCCCACTCACCATGTTTGAAGATCGCGGGCTGACGACGCGACCGAGACAGCTGCACGTGTGGACTTGAAACAGGGACGTGTCGGCTCTGTGCGTTGCACAGTGCTTGGAGCCTCCCAAGACGAGCCTCAGAACAATCAACTGAAGTTCCCTCAATCTCGAGACGGAGCTAGGATGAGGAGCCACTCGGACTCAATGGGAGATGCGCCCCTTGAGGGCGCATCACACACCAAAAATGTCAACTCCTCCAGGAAAACTTAAAAGAATTGGACAGTCAGATGTAGCGGCCTTGCCCCCTGTGCAATCCTACGCGCACTCTTCAGGCCAAGGGCACAACGTACTGAGATTGCACCACGTAGGTCGGAGACACCAGAATGCGAGAGCCGTGGGGTGCGAGGTCAACCGACATCCCGTACAGGTCCTTCATCTGCTTGCAGAGGTTGTCGAAAGACTCGGGAGAAACCTGGTGGCAATCCTTGTCCACATGCCAAGTGATGACGTATGGAGAGCACACTGAATTGTCGTGCGACTGGCCGGTGGTTGACCTGGGATCGGAAGCTCAAGCGCGGGGTCGGACTTATGATGTCTACTTGGGGTTTGTTGGGGGCCATGGCGCCTTATGGTGACATGGTGCTTAAGGCTGAAAAGTCTCGGAGGGTTTCGTCGTCTGGCTTGGGGTTTACGGCTAAAGCTCTGAGCTTGGGGTTTGGGGCTTGTACTGTCGGCTTAGGGTGTTGGACCCCACTTGAGCAAAGTGCTGCAGTGCTCTCAGAGACTCAAAACTTAACGACTTCACAAGGAAACAATGCCTCTTGCAAGCCACGTGGCCCAGAGTACATGACGGAGCTGTTATGTCCAACAACAGTCCAGCCATGCAGCAGATCGTTCACAGTAGGCCCCCCGTTCACGATCTGGTAGATCTGGCCCTGCACCACGACCATAGGGTTCAGAAGGCCACGGCCGTTTGCGGCACCTGCAACATGAACACGCGCTCAGATGCTTTCGACATAAATAACTATAACACTTGAAACATCAAGAGCTCTGGCAAGCAGTGCCTCACTGAAGCAGCAACCAGTACAATGTCGGCTATTGGAGACACACACACACACATCTCACACCCGCGTGTGCACACGCGTTGGCTCACCCATGCTGACGGTGACTGTGTGACAAGCAGATCAGGGTTGTTTGCTACATGCTCACGTGCCTCCCAAACCATCCGCGAGGAGGTCTGCATTCATGCCGTCCGAAGCATCATTGTCGGTGCCGGCTGAGGAGTGCACGTAGTGGACCTCGTAGGACTTGCCGACCTGCACGTCACCCGTGCAGTGCTGAAAGGTGTACGGCGTCATCTGCGCGTCAGTGAGCGTGTCCGTTGGGCACATGAAGCCAGGACGTGGGTTGCTGGCCAGGCGCCTGCCGGAGGAGGCCGCGTCGTACGCCATCGCATCGGTGTCGTTGTTGTAGGCATCGCTCTTATGCTCAGCCCCCAAGTGGAAGTGCACGTTCACCAGCGGCAGGAAGTTGGCCTGAGCATCCGTCAGCGTGGCCGCCTTCGGCACCATGCTGCCTGTTGCGCCAGTTGAGAGATCACGAGGCGTCTGAGGCTCGGCCGTGTTGCAAGCTGGCTTGTTGAAGTTGTACGGGCAAGTTGGAGTGCCCGGCACGGGGTTGCTCAGCACCGTGGTGGGGGAGCCACAGCACTGCTCACTTTTGTAGAAATCCTTCACCTCGCCGCAGGTGACGGCGTCCGCCCCAACCACAAACAATGAGAACAAGCGCAGCATGGCTGGATACGACTGTGTGGCAAAATCCTTCACGAACCCTTCTCTGTCTGCCAAAGCTCACAGCAAAAGAAACAACATCGGCAGGCCGATTTCTCTGACTCAGATCAGCTGATGACAAAGCAGCGCCCAGCGTTTCTAGCAGCTTCTGACGTACATCGGCATACACCGGTGTAGCAGCACAGGCCCTCCCTCACCCCTTCCGCCGAACCCCCACATGCAAATAAGCCATCAATCTCAGAGCACCACTCACCATTTGTGAAGATCGCGGGCTGACGACGCGACAGCTGGACGATTGCTGCACGTGTGGACTTGAAACAGGGACGTGTCGGCTCTGTGCGTTGCACAGTGCTTGGAGCTTCAAGACGAGCCTCAGAACAATCAACTGAAGTTCCCTCAATCTCGAGCTAGGATGAGGAGCCACTCGGACTCAATGGGAGATACGCCCCTTGGGGGCGCATCACACACCAAAAATGTCAACTCCTCCAGGAAAACTTAAAAGAATTGGACAGTCAGATGTAGCGGCCTTGCGCCCTGTGCAATCCTATGCGCACTCTTCAGGCCAAGGGCACAACGTACTGAGATTGCACCACGTAGGTCGGAGACACCAGAATGCGAGAGCCGTGGGGTGCGAGGTCAACCGACATCCCGTACAGGTCCTTCATCTGCTTGCAGAGGTTGTCGAAAGACTCGGGAGAAACCTGGTGGCAATCCTTGTCCACATGCCAAGTGATGACGTATGGAGAGCACACTGAGTTGTCGTGCGACTGGCCGGTGGTTGACCTGGGATCAGAAGCTCAAGCGCGGGGTCGGACTTATGATGTCTACTTGGGGTTTGTTGGGGGCCATGGCGCCTCTTGGTGACATGGTGCTTAAGGCTGAAAAGTTTCGGAGGGTTTCGTCGTCTGGCTTGGGGTTTACGGCTAAAGCTCTGAGCTTGGGGTTTGGGGCTTGTACTGTCGGCTTAGGGTGTTGGACCCCACTTGAGCAAAATGCTGCAGTGCTCTCAGAGACTCAACACTTAACGACTTCACAAGGAAACAATGCCTCTTGCAAGCCACGTGGCCCAGAGTACATGACGGAGTTGTTATGTCCAACAACAGTCCAGCCATGCAGCAGATCGTTCACAGTAGGCCCCCCGTTCACGATCTGGTAGATCTGGCCCTGCACCACGACCATAGGGTTCAGAAGGCCACGGCCGTTTGCGGCACCTGCAACATGAACACGCGCTCAGATGCTTTCGACATAATAACTATAACGCTTGAAACATCAAGAGCTCTGGCAAGCAGTGCCTCACTGAAGCAGCAACCAGTACAATGTCGGCTATTGGAGACACACACACACACATCTCACACACCTCACACCTGCGTTGACTCACCCATGCTGACGGTGACTGTGTGACAAGCAGATCAGGGTGGTTGGCTGCATGCTCACGTGCCTCCCAAACCATCCGCGAGGAGGTCTGCATTCATGCCGTCCGAAGCATCGTTGTCGGTGCCGGCTGAGGAGTGCACGTAGTGGACCTCGTAGGACTTGCCGACCTGCACGTCACCCGTGCAGTGCTGAAAGGTGTACGGCGTCATCTGCGCGTCAGTGAGGGTGTCCGTTGGGCACATGAAGCCAGGACGTGGGTTGCTGGCCAGGCGCCTGCCGGAGGAGGCCGCGTCGTACGCCATCGCATCGGTGTCGTTGTTGTAGGCATCGCTCTTATGCTCAGCCCCCAGGTGGAAGTGCACGTTCACCAGCGGCAGGAAGTTGGCCTGAGCATCCGTCAGCGTGGCCGCCTTCGGCACCATGCTGCCTGTAGCGCCAGTTGAGAGATCACGAGGCGTCTGAGGCTCGGCCGTGTTGCAAGCTGGCTTGTTGAAGTTGTACGGGCAAGTTGGAGTGCCCGGCACGGGGTTGCTCAGCACCGTGGTGGGGGAGCCACAGCACTGCTCACTCTTGTAGAAATCCTTCACCTCGCCGCAAGTGACGGCCTCCGCCCCGACAGCCATCGCCAGTGCCAACGCTAAGCCTGTGGCAACCTTGGGACGGGCCGAGGCGAGGGGCAGCAGCAGCGCCATCCACGGCGAGCCGCGGAATGCGGAGCCCGTCTCTTCGCCGGTTGTCTCGCAAAGGTCCACCTCCGGATCGTCAGGGCACGTGGCGATGGCGACTTTGGCGAGGCAGGCGGTCACCGCAAGCAAGCGCAACATGGCTGGGGGATCAAGGACTCGTCACAACCTTCAGCTATGCCAGCTGTGCAGGCCCTCTGACTTGAAACACTCAGCGCGCACAAGCCTTCAGGAAGCTTCAGGCCTAGGAGTCTAGCTTCTGCGGCCGCAGGGTCTAGGGATGTGGAACAACGTGGGGTTGCTGTTTGCGTTAAAGTTTAGTTAAAGTCTGTAGAACCTGGGGGTTCCGGTGCGGCATCTTTCCTGAAACAGATTTTCCTCCGAGCACTATGAAATACAGCATGAATGAGAGCATCAACACTAAAGCTGCCCCTAGTTTAGCACCTCAGGTTTAGAACCTCGGATGCAGGGCAATGTAATTACGGGCTTAAGCCCCTTTGGCTTCGGGGTACACCCCAACTGGAAAACCACATAACTTCGGCATACTTCGAAGGCATTCGCAAACCCCAGAGTTCTCACCAACTGAATTCGAACCAGCCCTTTCCATTTTGAGCCTCGGAATCTGCAGTCATTGGCGCGTCTGCCTAGCAAGGGTGGCTTTTCTCTTGGTCCCTTCACATGTGCCCTTAGTTTGTTGGGGAACCCCTATATACCCCCGCATATACCCTATATAACCCAAGGGCGCATACTTCAGAACCCTAAAAAAGATAAGGGGCCATATAGTAAGGGACCCTTAGATTTTCATTTTACGCTCTAAAACGCTGAGTGGGGATCAGCAGGTGTTAAGTTCGCGACCTAGGGGTCGGTTGTGTTTCGAGACTGGCGCGCAGGGCCGTTTTGATTATCTTCGGACCCGTACTGGACCCTAAACCCCAAAACCCCCTAGAGCCGAAAAGCCAGCGCAAACCCTGAACATTCAACTTAGTAAGCCACCTAAACCCTAAGCCCTAAGCCCTAAGCCCTAAAGCCCTAAGCCCTAAGCCCTAAGCCCTAAACCCTAAACCCTAAACCCTAAACCCTAAACCCTAAACCTCCTTCAAAACGAAAGCCAACATCTTCGGTGCCTGTAAGGCTCGAAGCTCGGCTTCGACCTCTGTGTTGGGACTGCTTGGAGGTTCATGGGTGGTTATAGGTAGGGTTTAGGGTTTAGGGTTTAGGGTTTAGGGTTTAGGGTTTAGGGTTTAGGGTTTAGGGTTTAGGGTTTCGGGTTTCGGGTTTAGGGTTTAGGGGTATAAGTATGGTAACTATATAAGTAGGGTTTAGGGTTTAGGGGTATAAGTACGAAACTCCCCTTGGAACCTTAAAAACAAAAATAATTTTGAATATCCTGTTGGGTTTATATAAACAAAAATGAGAAAATAATTCCAAAGGGGATATATAGGAGGGGTAAAAGTATGGTAACTATATGTACCACCCCCCATTTTGGGAGTAGGGTGTATTTGTATGGTTTTCGGGTTGAGGGCATTTGGGGTGTAGGATGCTAAGGTTTGTGGGACTTTGCGGTAGCCCGGCTCTTGCAACAAGTTTCCTGCAACAACCCTCGGGCTTCGATCTCATCGCTTCCTCCTTACGGTAAGGGCTGAAGACTTTGAATTACTAAACCCAAAACCCTAAACCCCTAAACCCCTAAACCCCAAACCCTAAACCCTAAACCCTAAACCCAACTTGCTCTGCCCCACAAACGCAGAGTTTCAGGAAAACGGCATCTGAGCTCGTTGCCTGGATCGCCCGCAATCGCCAGCTCCGTGATGCCTACTCTGTAGGATGGACGCGTTGGCTTAGGGCTTAAGGTTTAGGGAATCCCCAATCCTAAACCCTGTCGCCTCCGGCTGCAACTATGGTGTGCTGAGCTTTGGAAGGAGCTCCAATTCAGGGCCCCGCACTTCGGGACGGGTTTAGAGACCTTCCCTGACGATGTTCCAATGAGCCCTCGAACGTCCTCGAACCTCTGCCTTCCGTCTACCTAGGACTGTTCCAGCATGTATCTTTCCATCTCCAGACCTTGACAATGCAAGCCTAGGTCAATGCATGTATATCTGCGTGCCGCATGCAAGGCCCTCAAGGACAGCCATGAAAACCGATGCCCCAAACCCCGGCTGAGCCCTTCCATGTCCCAAAGGTTCGTAGTTACAACTGGTGCTAGTTGGCAGCTGCAGTTTCCGCAGCTTGTGAGGCCACATGTCTCCGCATCCATGAACCCTAAACCCTACTTAAACCCTACCCCGCAACCCTACACCCTCTACCCCTAAACCCCAAACCCTAAACCCCCCTTCGCCCCCCCCCAAGGCCTAAACCCTGAACCCACGAACCTCAGAATGAACCTCCGAGGTTGCTGGGTTTGTTGCAGGCTGGTGGCTTGGAAGCTTCGGGGTCAAGATTTCGACGTGAGGGATCTAAGCCCTAAACCCTAAACCCTAAATCCGAAACCTAAACCCTAAACCCGAACCTGCAGCACTGAACTCTAAGCTGCTCGTTCTTTAGGGTTTACCCCAGCAGGCTAGCGAAGCCCTAGGCCCTAGCCTCAAGAGCTGTGTCTTGCTGTGATACCGATTAGAATGGCCAGAGGTCGCCTTTGCACCTCTGCCCTATGCACAGCTAGGTTGAGATCCGGAAACAATATTCCCTGAACCCGAAACCATTCCAAGAGGGGCAAATCAACAATGTCCCCAGGCCATACGTAGATTGGTAGCCTCCTCGGCATCCAGGAGCTCTTGACGCAGCCACTTGCGCATGGTTGCCTGCAGTTTCGAGTTTTCGGGTCTCGGTTCAACTGTCTGTGCTCAGCAAACCTTACATATGTACATAAGCTATACATATATATATATATATGTTTGGTCCCTTGCAAATTCTAACTTCAAGCATAACGAAGAAGACTTTGTTCTTAAAACGCTGTCTGACACCCCCGCCTCCACCCCCCCCCCCACCTCCTGCCCTACCGGAGTGGGAGTGTAGAGCTGTTTTTTTTGCGGGGCTGAGGGCTTAGGGTACACAGCGGTTTCTCTTGATTTCTGGTTTCGGCTGGGTGACTGTGGGAGGTGGCGTGCCGAAGTCTGGTGCATGGAGGCGGGGCAAGCCACCAGGTCTAGGGTTTTTGTCTCTCGGGTTCTTCGGCGACCTCGCATCCGGCTACTTCCCTGAGTACCTGTGGCCACCGTCATCTCGCAACTTCCAGAAGGAGCTGGTAAGTCTACTGGCAAGGCCAAGCCCCGCCCAGGGATAGCACCCGTTTAGGTTTTAGGGCTTCGGGTTTGGGGTGTAGGACCGCATTGTGCCCAACAGGGGCCATGATTTGGAGCCCTGCCCACGGTGACCCTGGAAGGAATCCTGATTACTACCCTACTTTGCCCACCCTCTCTCTCTCTCTCTCCCTCTCTCCCACTCGCTCAATACAAATATTCATACACATAACCATAAACATACACAAACATACCTACACACACACAGACATACATACATACATACATACATACGTACACACATACATACGTACATACAGACATACGTACATACGTACATACGTACATACGTACATACGTACGTACGTACATACGTACATACAAACAAATACACAACATATGGGTGCGGCTCAAAAGTCTAGGTATGTAACTGGCTCCCGGGCGTCTTTCCGCGACATAGGGTTTGTAACAAAGCCGTTCTGCTTGCGACAAGCAGTGTCCGCGACAAACCTCCGCGACAAGCCTCCGCGACAAGCCTTTGCGACAGGCCCCTTCTTGGAACTGCAACCTTCGACGACGAAGGCATTGAGACAGCGCGCGAAACAGCAGCGACAAACCCCACATACGTATGAAACAAGTGGGCACGACATACGTATGTAACACAGGCGGGGGTCGGGACACCGCGACATACCCCTATTTAGAGCCACAGCCATATAAAAATATACACACAATACGTATATGTAAAGAACCCCAGGCCCCCTCAACAATGGCAGGCCGCCGCCTCCATGGCCTTGGGAGGGTGATGGTCATCCATGGCGAACTACAGCGCAGTTTGGGGGGGGGCTTAGGGCTGGTAGGGTGGGATGTTCCCCCCTTACACTAACAGTCCTTATGGGATTCTACTAGGGGGAACGTCCCAACTAGTAGGGTTTAGAGTTAGGGTGGGCTTGTAAAGAAAGCATGGGGCTTCACTGTAATCATAAGCAGGTCGTAGTAAGAAGTACTACTGCTGTGCGGGCTTCATGGCTTACGGCTTAACCTAAACCCTGATTACGGGGTCTTCAGGCGGGGTGGGTGGCCAAGTTCTCATGGGCTTGGGTCGGGCTTTTTTGAACCCTCAGAAAGACCCAGGCCGCCCTAAAGCTTTGGGTTAGTGGAAGGATAGAAGTCAGGCTCATGGGCCCTCTACTTTTCAAAATGCCAAGAGCAAAAAAGCCCCCGGCCTAAAATGGCTCGGGGGGCTTCCAGTTCAAGCCAAAGACGCGCATCCCCCCTGCTGCGAGGACTCAAGATCCTAGACATATACAGCCATAAACCCTAAACCCTAAACCCTAAACCCTAAACCCTAAACCCTAAACCCTAAACCCTAAACCTCAACACCTTATAGCAAGGCAGCAGAACCAGCAAGGCAAAGCAAAGGTTAACGTTTCATCGCGGTCTGCGCTCGCACTTGTTCGGGGTGTCCAAAAACCAGGGGTCACCTTTCTTCCTTTTGGGGGAGGGGTCCCTATAACAGGGAGTATCCGCATTTTACGACATGCACATTTGATGTGCGCATCTTTACGTTTCCGACATGTGCGGCTGCAGAGAATTCCTTTTTTGGCAGATCCGCGACGCACCTAGCTTGCACCAATGTAGCTGTCTGACTTCCACTTTGTGGGATGCAGATGCCACGTGAGACTTGGATGTAGCGCTGAGATCGAATAACAACAGCACCTGTTTCAAGGCTACGGGCTCAAAGGATCTGCGTCATACGGGCAAACATTACTTAGGTTGTTGCAGGACTCTCGCTCGTCTGCGCGTATTCACCAGAAACTTGTCACCTTTTCCACGCACCTCCAGTCGCCAGTCTCCAGAGCAGAACTGTGCAACGTGAGCAAATCACCACACTCCCAAGCTCCTCCA